AGCCTGATGGAACTACTGAGACTATGGCCTCTACTTGCCCTTCAGGTCTGGAATTGAACCCTGTGGCATCCAGCCACACAAAATGAGCTGTAACATTTACATTAGGTAAATGGACTCCTTGGAGAGAACAATCATGGGAGAATAGAATGGCTGTGTATGCACAGAGAGACAGCTGGGGCAGCTGGAGTGCATGGGAGAGAAGGACACAGGAAAGAGGTAACCACAGGGAGGAATTGGGAGGGGAGCTGTTGCATTGTGGGAAATTGCAGTCAACGTCATGAGACAGTGTACGTGAGCTACTATATGGAAAGTGATTTTGGTCTGTAAACTTTCACCCGAATCACAATAAAAATTAAAAAAAAAAAGAGACTAAGTAGTTTAAACTAGCTTTAAATTAATACAATGTATAAAAATCTTGTTACAAAGAAAGTTGGGAAAAATACTTTCAACTATCATTAAATATCAAATTTAGTATGTTTTCTACTTTTAAACTTCTCTTAAAAAAAAGTAATTAAAATTAAATTAAAAAAAGAAAAAGCATAACCCTTGGTTTCCTTCCAAACTACTTTAAATTTTAAAGCAAAAGGTTTCCGGGCATGATTGCGCTTTATGGCACTACCCGATCTGGCCGGCGCTTAACTGGAGGGCGCTTGAGAGCCCGACGCGGTGCGCGGGAAGGCCGGACAAGGAGGAAGTGTTTAGAGCGCAGCTATGGTGCAGCTTGGGCTGCTACTCTGGAGCGTGCGCAGGGCTGTTCTCGGGTCCGCGGAGGCTGCACTCTGGGGTGAGCTCGACCGTCCTTGGGAAACGCAAGCGCATCTAACGTCGGTCCCCAGAGAAAGGGTGGGGTTGGTCGGTGTGCTTGCTTTTTTGGATTTCCAGTAAAATGTCAGTGTCGTTTAGTCTTGACACCTGGGGATGTAGCACCCACTTGCAGTTATTCCTTCAGATACTGGGCTACTGGGGCCTCGGGTTGCTCTGTGGGGAACGCTGGGAGAGGGGTAAGCATTGCTCTGGTGAACTCGTGCTTGGCTGAGCAATGAAGGTCAACGCTGGGTTCAGAGCAGCGAGCAAGCTGGCCAGACCCTGGCCAGAGAGTCGTAATGGCGAACTCAGCCTTGAGAATTTCACGTCTCCCACTAGAGAGCAGTGCTCATCTCTTGACTAAACAGCCACCTAAAATCGTGAGCTTATTAGAGCTGTAAAGTACCACCCCTAATTTTACAGACGAGAAACGGAAGCCAGAGATGTGAAGGTGGTTAGTGAGGGTGTTAAATGTAAACTCAGAACTTCTGGCCCCCAGTCCCTTTTCTTTGCTTTACCTGCTGCCTCTCTCCTTCAGCAGCCCCTTTTATTTGTGGAGCTACAGAGCTGGGGTTCAAACCCACCAGCCACTCCTCGGAAGGAAGGTTGGGCAATCCTACTTCCGTAGTGATACTGCCTCGGAAACCCAAGGAGGGGTCGCT